GGGAAGCCCAGCGACCCCCAGGGCCAGGCTCTGAGCAGCTGACCGTGGGAAGCCCAGCGACCCCCAGGGCCAGGCTCTGAGCAGCTGACCGTGGGGGCCCAGCGAGGAGCCATGCTGGAGCCCTCCCGTCGGTGGGGAAAGGCCCGAAGGTGGCCTTGGAGGGGCCAGTGATGGGTCCTTGTCACCTCCAGGTGTGGTGGCCGAGAGGGGCTCGTCCCCCAGCTCTATTCCTGCTGGAAGCAAGGCTTAGCTGGAGGGCACGGGGCCTGGCACAGCCGGGGATCCTGCCCACGGGCCCTGTGGTTAAAGTGGAGCAATTTCGCTCACTTGGTTTTTGCTAGAGAATAGCACTTGCTTCATGAAGAGATGAATCCCTCCCGGAAGAGAGGACTGGGAGCCCTTCCTTCCTGCCTGTGCCCGCGGTGGGGGTGGCGGGCAGGCCACTGGCTCTCGGCCCAGCCCACTCCGGCTGCACGTGGCTCTGGCGGGAGGGCGGCGGGACTGGGACCTGCAGGCAGCTGCTCCAGGGGGCTTGCCGGACCCGGGACGCGGGGCTGGAGAAGAGTCACTGGGTCCCCCGAGACATCAGCCTGGGCTGAAGCGGCAGAGACAGGATCTGGGCCCGGCCTTCCGCCCGTGGGCTCCAGCTGGCCAGAGCCAGGCAGGGTGTGTGAGGCCCATGGAGAGCAGGGGGCCGGCTCTCCAGACCCTCAGATACCTGGCATGAGGCGCGGCCACTCCAGCTGCCCCACACTGCACCACATCCGAGAGCCTGTGGACCACGTCCAAATGCCAGAGCCACGGCAGCAGAGACCCCAGCTGTGATAGGTGACAGAAGGCGGGTGGGGGTGGGTGGGTAGGGGTGTGGGGGGTATAGGGGGTGGGGGGGGGGAGGTAGGGGTGTGGGGGATGTGAGGGTGGGGGGTAGGGGTGTGGGGGTGGGGGTGGGGGAGGTGGAGGTGGGGGTGGGGGCGGTGGGCAGGCTTCAGCCGTTCCCTGGCTCCTGTGCAGCTGTCCTCCTCACACAGCCCAGCAGCAGCCCCTCCACCTGCCCATCAGTTCAGAGAGGACCAAGGCCACCACTCCTCAGAACCTGAGTTCCTGGGGCGCCTTCTGGACCTCCACACCCAGCCACAAGTCAGTAAAGGCCCCCCCATCACTTGGGGCAGGGCTGCGTGTTTCCTCTGGGACCCCAGGAGGGAAGGACCTCGGCTCACCCCACCCATCCACGCCGGGGCTCTGCCTGTGCGCAGAGCGGACCTCTGGCCTCCAGGGCACTCGCCACCAAAGCACTTGGTGATGAACTTGGCTGAAAAGCAAAAACCTTGGCAGCCAAGCCTCGGGGATTCATCTCTTCATTAAGAAAGTGCTATTCGCTGGCAAGAAAGAAGTGAGTGAAATCACCCAAGTTTAGCTAGAGCAAACCATGTTCCTGTGTGTTCACAGAAGCAGGACTGCAAGGCAGCTGGGTGATGATATTTTCAGTTTCTAGGCTTAAAGAAGTAAGATAAACCTCTCAAGCCCTCATCCTCCCCTCTTGCTCTCTCGGAGGAAGAGAAGAACAGTCATCAGTGGTGAATGGCACTTGGGGTGACGCCACAGGGACGGGCGCCTGCTCGGGAGGGAATGCTGCACCTCCTCCCTGCCGTTTGCCGCGCCCCGCGTGGCCAGAGGAACCTCTCTAGGTACCAGCTATAGAAACGATCCCAGAATGCAGTCTTTCACTTTCTAGTCTTTTTTCTTTTTGAGATGGAGTCTCGCTCTGTCGCCCAGGCTGGAGTGTAATGGTGTGATCTCAGCTCACTGCAGCCTCTGCCTCTCTGGTTCAAGCGATTCTCCTGCCTCAGCCTCCCAAGTATCTGGGATTATAGGCAGGCGCCACCATGCCCCCACGCCCAGCTAATTTTCTATTTTTAGTAGAGAGAGGGTTTCATTATGTTGTCTAGGCTGGTCTTGAACTCCTGACCTCAGGTGATCCACCCACCTCAGTCTCCCAAAGTGCTGGGATTACAAGTGTGAGCCACTGTGCCCAGTTTCTAGTCTTTTGAAGTAATTGCTGACCATTTTTTGTTGCCTTAAAATAAAAATCAACCATAGTTTAATTAAAACATTTGATTGACTAGATTCCATTGGATTCTTGGATTCAGTCGCTCGTTCGTCCTTAAAACCAAGAAGCCCCGCCTGGCGAGGCCAACAGAGCTGCAGGTTGTACCAGGTGGAGCCTTGCCTGTGGCTGCATATGGGCCTGAAGGGGACCTTGCTGTCCCTGCCGAAAACACATTTTAAAACTTCCTTCCTGTGCCAGGGGTTCCCATCCGTCCACGCCTTTCGGTTTTTGCCATCTCAGGGTGGGCATCCTGGTGGCTTGCCCTCTGGACACCAGCTGGCCTCCCAGTGGCTTCCCTGTGGCTCACCTGCCCCTCTGGAAACCAGCCGGCCTCCCAGTGGCTTCCCAGTGGCTC